TCCTTGCTTTTTTTCTTTTTCTTTTCTTTCTCAGATGCTTTGAGCCATGGCGCTCTGGGTTGGTTGGGGCTGTCAGATTTGGCTTGCCGCTTTATTTCGCATTGCTCTCCGATATTTTCATCTTTTTCTGTTCTTATTTTCTCCCCTGCGCTACTGTTCATCCCCACATGCTCGTCTGTTCATCTGCTTATCCCCTTTCTGCGTAGCATTATTTGGCTTGCTGAACTTCAAGCTCACACGAATCCTCCCGTGTTCTGTTTTCAGATGAGAAGCAGCGCAACCGGGGCAGCGACTGCGCGGTCGGCCTGAGGCCGGAGAGGCAGGCAGGCAGGCTGCAAAGCTCAGCTCAGACCAGAGGAGGCTTCATCCAGACAGAGTGAAAGCGAGCCCCCATGGGCTCCCTGGAGGCGCGGTACCGGCCGGCCGGAGCAGCGTAAGATCTCCCTCCCCAGAGCAGAACCCACCCCTCGGCTCGATCCGAAGAGAAAAATACCCACTTTTCTGTACGCCCGTACCTTTTTTAGCTGGTGATACTCGAGGAGATGCCGCTTGCGTGCTAATCTGGCCTGCAGATGCGCCCTGCCATGTGCCGCCATGTGCTAACCAAGCCGTTTCTGTGGCGATTACCACGGCGTAGTAATCCCGTACCGCCATGGTACCCTGCACAAGATGCCGTTCTTTCCTCTCCGCTGCCGTCCGTCCGTCCGTCCGTCCATGGTGCCTTCCTCCTCCATAACTTCCCTGATCTTGTAGGTGGTGCCGTTGGTGGTTGCAGCGCCTTTATGGCATCCATCCATCCACCCACATATGCTACCACCAGTACCACTTCCCGTTAGAGATGCAGCGAGAATGCGCCCTCTTTTCCGTTGCTAAGATGCCGGAACTGCCATGAATCTGTTGGTTCTTGCGCCCTCTTTTTAACCTGATTTTGTTCTTATTACCGGCCAGGGGTCTGCCCTGCATTTCTGGCGGTGGTTTTGATCCCATATTTAGGAGATGCTAATGGTTTCGGTAACCCAGCTCCAGACTTTCTGTTATTATGGTGGGGCCAGTTGTCGGTGCTCATGTGTTCCTCACTGCGGATTTGGCCCCGGAGACCGCTCCTTGTCACCGAAACCTATTAAATCTCTCCTACTGACGCATTGGCTCCATGTGCACTCCGCAGTGGGCACGTTGAGTTGGTCAGCTCCGGTACACTCTCTTCATGCCGGTGGCCTGAGGGTGACAATTGGGGATCATTTCCTCTAGAAAATGCCAGGTTTTCGGGGTTGTGTTTGACTCTTCGGTGCGCGGCGAACGGAGTGAATCCAGCAACCTTGGTCTCCTGTCATCAGCCTTTGTGATGTTAACGGCATTGACGCTACTGCAAAGTTTCTATATCTCTACACCTGGGATTGCTCATCTTCGTGCGGCTTTTCTTCGCGTGTTTGCCGGTATTAAAACTGCTAATCGGAGCGTGCTGTAGATTTGAGACCAAGAAACATGGAGGGGTTAGGTTAGGTACCGGGAATCTCTGTGATTAGTGGTGCTCTCCTTTTCTAAAAGATGCGGCTAATAAAGCAGAGGCCCGGAGGAATGGATGAGTGCGCTGGTTTTCATTTGCTTCATATTTTTTAATCCTCGGTGCGGAGAAACGTGCGGGCTTTTGTTCCCCTTAGCCTTTTTTCTCCTCGATAGCCAAATCACTTTAGTGTGTGATCACTTCCCAATATTGGATGCTGCAGTTTCTCCTGTTAAAAGTGGTGCGGGGGTACTTTAGTTTTAGTGTTGCAATGCATGTTAGCCGCTCATGGGGGCTGGTCTTCTGAACCTTCTGAGCATAAGCATATATAGTGCAGCCTCCAAGAAAAACCAAACACTATCACCTAGGAAAGCACCATGAAAGCTATCTTTGTGGTTGTAAGCAAAGCAATGGGGTGAGGAAAGGAAAGCACCAGGGCGTGGCTTGCTTGTAGGCTTATTTTGTTGTTATTTTGGTACAAGTGGTTGTTCTGATAGGGACCTTCGGAACCAAGTTGGATCACTTCCTTCCTTGTACTTCAGATAAAAAATATATTAATATAAGCTGGTTACTTTGGGAAATCATACCTGCTTCTTCAGAAGTGCCTATTTCAGAGTTTTGATTTTGGACTAACAAATATTTTAATATAATCTGTTATATTGGGAAATCATACCTGCTTCTTCAGAAGTGCCTATTTCAGAGTTTTGATTTTGGACTAACAAATATTTTAATATAATCTGTTATATTGGGAAATAACACTTCTTCAGAAATTCTCCTATATATCCTCTATAAATCTTAGGCAGAGTTTTTGGTTTCATCTGCCTAGCCAAAGCTCCCAGTGCCTATTGAGTGTCTAGCATCTACCAAGTGTGATATTGACAAAAGTAAAACGGAAAAATTCATCTTCCTGCATAACAAAATGAAAGCTAGGAGCAGAACTCTACTGCTCTCGTGGTATCAGTACCAAAAAAATGTTTATACCAATATAGTAAGACTTTTTATTGTAGAGATAGCTTCTGAGTTCCGACTTTATCTTGGCCAGAATTAGTACTTCGCTGTTCCGTTACTGACTTGCTGTCTCTTGACTATCTCCTCTGTTGCAGTGATGACACAGCTAAAAGAAGGACCCAGAAAAGTAAAAGTTTCAAAGAGGTTGAAAAGTTTGATGTATTTGTTCTAGAGAAAAGCTCCGGCTGCAAGTTCCGATCCTTGCAACTTTTGCTCTTCGCTATCATGTCTGCTGCATTTCTGACACTTCTATACACTCCGTCTGTGTACGAGCATCAGTTGCAGTCCAATTCTCGGTAAGTATATATGTATGAAGAGTATCTTGTTGTAACAGCTAGTACTACACGTAGAACATTACTTTACACTAGGCTAGGTTGGTATCTGTATATGGTAAGCTGCATATTGCCCTGAAGCTCATCGTGTTCATGTGCTTTGCAGGTTTGTTAATGTTGGATGGATATGGGATAAGACTATCCCTGATCCGCGATATGTATCTACTATGCCCGTTCAGTGGGATGATGTGTATAAAACTATCGAAAGTCTGAATGGTGGTGAGCAGAAGCTCAAGGTCGGACTCTTGAATTTTAACAGCACTGAGTTCGGGTCTTGGACACAATTGCTCCCAGAAAGTGAGTTTTCGATCATAAGGTTGGAGCATGCTAATGAAAGCATCACCTGGCAGACACTGTACCCTGAATGGATTGATGAGGAGGAAGAAACAGAGATACCATCTTGTCCATCGCTTCCAGAGCCTAATTTCCCAAGAGGGACACACTTTGATGTTATTGCTGTGAAGCTTCCCTGTACCCGAGTTGGCGGGTGGTCCAGAGATGTTGCGCGGTTGCATCTGCAGTTGTCAGCAGCAAAATTGGCCGTGACTGCCGCAAGAGGCAACCGGGGGGTACATGTGATGTTTGTGACGGAGTGCTTCCCTCTTCCGAATCTCTTCTCTTGCAAGAATCTTAAGAAACATGAAGGCAATGCTTGGCTATACAAGCCTGACTCGAAGGCATTAAAGGAGAAGCTTAGACTTCCGATTGGATCTTGTGAGCTTGCTGTTCCACTCAAAGCAAAATGTAAGTTGATTACTATCTCTGCTGTTTTCAATGTCTCTGCATAGAAATATGCTAATTATTCCTCATTACCTTTTGCAAATGTTTGTCATCTACTCATCTGTTGATTTGCTAATTTGAATATCCACAATGCCTGGAAGAGCTATCCATCTGTGGCAGTTGAAATATATAGCAGTCTCTCTGCTTTATCATATAGGGAACATCACCACCTTTGGTTCGAATATTGTCATGATTGAAAATTTGCTTTTATGCCTTTTTAGTGTTGTCCCTGTATTACTTGGAATTTTTTGATGAGTGACACCAATCCTCTCTCTTACAGCAAGACTTTACTCGGTAGACCGACGCAGAGAAGCATATGCTACCATACTGCATTCAGCAAGCGAGTATGTCTGTGGCGCAATTGCAGCAGCTCAAAGCATTCGTCAAGCAGGATCAACAAGGGACTTTGTTATTCTTGTTGATGACACCATAAGTGACCATCACCGGAAGGGCCTTGAATCTGCGGGTTGGAAGGTGAGAATAATCGAGAGGATACGGAACCCAAAGGCTGAGCGTGATGCTTACAATGAGTGGAACTACAGCAAATTCCGGTTGTGGCAGCTGACGGATTATGACAAGATCATATTCATAGATGCTGATCTGCTCATCCTGAGGAACATTGATTTCCTGTTTACAATGCCGGAAATCAGTGCAACTGGCAACAATGCAACACTCTTCAACTCTGGTGTCATGGTTATCGAGCCTTCAAACTGCACATTCCAGCTGTTAATGAATCACATCAACGAGATCACATCTTACAATGGTGGCGATCAGGGATACTTGAACGAGATATTCACATGGTGGCATCGGATTCCAAAGCACATGAACTTCCTGAAGCATTTCTGGGAGGGCGACGAAGAGGAGGTGAAGGCGAAGAAGACCCAGCTGTTCGGCGCCAACCCGCCGATCCTCTACGTCCTCCACTACCTGGGCCGCAAGCCATGGCTATGCTTCCGGGACTACGACTGCAACTGGAACGTTCCGATACTGCGGGAGTTTGCCAGCGACATCGCGCACACGCGGTGGTGGAAGGTGCATGACAAGATGCCCAAGAAGCTGCAGAGCTACTGCCTCCTGAGGTCGAGGCTGAAGGCGGGGCTGGAGTGGGAGCGGAGGCAGGCGGAGAAGGCCAACTTCACGGACGGGCACTGGAAGCGGAACATCACCGACAAGAGGCTCAAGATTTGCTTCGAGAAGTTCTGCTTCTGGGAGAGCATGCTGTGGCACTGGGGCGAGGCCCCCAACAACGCGACGAAGAAGGCCTCGACGCCGGCGCTGTCCGCCGCGACCCTGTCGAGCTCGTGAGATGCTGTGTAGATATCCTCCCCCGTGAAATTTTAGTATACCAGATGATGATACAGCAGACCTCCCCCCAGTCTCCTCCTCCATTCCATACAATACACAATAGCAACAGCTTTGTAAAGGTAGCCATGCATGCTGCTCCTAGGCCTTTCCTTCCCAACAGCTATACATTTTGTTTGCTGCCGATGCCTCGGGCGCGCTCTCGCTCTCGCTGCTGCTGCTCCAACCGCGACGCCACGGCTAACGATTTTTTGGGTTCATCTTGGATGGGTAATAATTCGTCGCTTGTAGGTAAGTTTTCTTGGGCAAGACTTGTCTATGGCTGGCTGTGTTGGCGCAGTGGTAGTTAGCTTTTGTAATGTAACGTGTGTATGGTGGTCGTTGAACTGTTGGCTCCGGTGGCGTTGGTCTGGGGTGATGCAAGGGTTAGATTGCTGACCGGCGGACGCCGCCGCTCCTTTTTGGCACCATGGGTGATGGACATGATATATGATGTTGTAATGGAATTTGGGTTGGTTCAACTGCTCGGCGATTCAGCGTATGGGAAGTGGTTCCCTGAGTCGTCTGAAATTGTTTGCCTGTGTTGCTGTAGAACAAACCACGGTCGGCTGTGGGGTTGGTTCGGTTGCATGCATGTGTGTGTGCATTGAGCTCAGCGGCGCCACCTAACGGGGCGGCGTTGAAATGGCGTGCTGCCGGTGCTGGGTGCGGGCAGACGTAGAAGAGGAGGACACACATGGGGCGCATGGAGAGTTGGGTGAGCTGCCTCCCGTGCCAATGGTGGACATGGCCCCATCATTGCCAGGATCTCCATTATTTCGCCGTGCTCCGTTGGGTTGGGTTCCTTGCAGCTGCGGGCGATCTTTGTTGAGGCCGCTCGAGGCAAATTTTCGTGTTTTGACCTTTTTTTGAAACCTATTCAAGATTTGAACCTAGTTTGAATTATCTTTGAGATCTGATCCTTTTGCTACCGCCAGAATCCATGGTGATAGGATCTAAACAGCCTACCGTCAGAGACTTTGGTGGTAGGAAACTTCGCTACCGCCAGCCGGGCTGGCGGTAGCCTGCACAACCCTACCATCAAGGTGTTTGGCGGTAGGCATGAGCATGCACTGTGTTTAATATTTAGGAGGTACTCTACCGCCATGGTCCCTGACGGTAGTAGATCTCGATTTTTTTTAAATTAGGATTAAATCTTGAATAGGTTTTAGAAAAGGGTCAAAACACGAAATTTAGCCGCCGCTCGACGTGCTCGCTTTTCCGACAGCATGGAAACGCCCTGCGTCCACCTAAAAAGCACGAGGATGTACCGCTGGTGTTGTTTGCCCAAGATCGGGAGCGGTTGGAGCTGGAGGATTCCGTGGCAGTACCACTAGTAGGTTTTCTTTTAAATTGCTTCCAGATCTGGACGCACTGTAGCTGAGCTGAATGCCAATCTGGCGTCCCCGCAAAAAGAAAGAAAAAGGGACGCGACTAGCAGTAGTACTGCTGCTGTGACAACGAGCGGGGTTGGGCGCCGCACACCTGGTTTCCGAATGGGAGGGAGGGCGGTGTGGCCATCTTCCCGGCCCTTTTGTCAGAGAAGGCATGCGATGCCGCGGACCGGCTCGGCGCCCGAGCCGCTTGGCCGGCGAGAGCGCGGTGCGGCGTGGCCCCGCGCACGCCTGGCACGCGTCCGTGCGCTCTGCATCTGTCGGCGAGGGTGCCGGCTTTTGAGGTTTGACCGGGGAGAGGAAGAAGCAAGGGGAGGAGGGGAGAAAGGACGCCCCGGGCTGGGCCTCCGTGGTCGGCGTCGCGAGCTGCCCTTTCTGCCGCGTCGCGGCGCCGACGCTTCCAGCACAAGTAATTTTGGGGGCCACGACGGCGCGACGCCGGACGGCGGGTTCGTTTGAGAGCGGGTGCGAAAGGCCGGGACGGCTGGGCCGGGGATGTTTAGGGCAACTCCACCGCACGACCTTAAATGAACGTCTGCTTTGTCCGGATTCTGTCCGTTTGGGATGGCAATAGGTAATAAAACGTCCGGGTTTATTTGGAGGCGCCCAATGCGCAGACCAACCCCAAAACGTCCGCCTCGGCCGCCATGTCACGCCCGCGCTCTTGCTCCGCCGGCGCAGCTGTTGGTGCCGCCGCCGCTGCCAGGCTCGCCCGCTCCACGCTCCGCGCGCCCGCCTCGCCGCCCACTGTCGTGCCCTCGCCCGCGTCGTGGCCAACTCCTCGGCGCTCGCTGCCTCGCTGCCGCCTGGGCATTTGCCGCAGGCACCCCCCGCCCCGCTCACGCCCGCGCGCCGCGCGCGCAGCCCCGCCCCGTTCGGCCA